ACAGACACACGGCTTAAAAATTCACTTATCCTCTCTTCTGTGACGAGAGGACACCGGTGCCGGACGAGTCACAGCGTGCGACGGTTTAAAAAGTAAACAGCGCGCACTGTATCCGGCTTCTGACAACAAGACGCTGGGCCTCCAGCTGGCTCCGCTCCCATCCACCAGCGAGAGCTGTATGTGTTGTATGGTATGTCACTGTTGTAATGTATTAAAGCAAAATACAACCTGAGATGACATGTGGGGTACAGGATGCAGAAATGGAAAGAGTGTACGGTGAAATTAACAAAAATATTACAGACCAAAAAGAGAGAAAAAGAAACAAACAATGATAATCTGTATGCAATAAAGTTTTTTTTAAGCAGCTTTTGTTGTGCACTACCACTGGACCGACAACCAAGGGGCAGCTCTGGGTTCTGCCATACAGTTTCTCATTTTTTGTTTCTTTCCCTTTTTCTTTTTCTCTTTTTGGTCCGAAATATTTTTTTTTATTTCACCCAACACTCTTTCCATTTCTGCATCCTGTACATGTCATCTCAGGTTGTATTTTGCTTTCATGCATTGCAACAGGAACATACCACAGTAAACTTATTTACTGTCCACAATACATTACATAATGTTTATTTGCCAATATTTACTGTTTATGATGTTGCTTTTGTTGCCTTTGTAACAGCCTGCTATGGCATCCAGATATCACCTTAATGTCTTCTATGCTTATTCCATTTCATTTTTAATGCTGCTGGCTTTATTATGCATTATTCCCTGTTTTTAGCCTCAATATTATGGCCACTGGGGTTGGTAAGGAACGCTTAGGGGAACTTTCCCTACGACTAGAACCTGAGACCACACTCCCGGTCCACATCGGGTGACAGAGGCCTTATTAATAATAAATGCAGCCCTGAAAACAACATCAGGTTAGACGAAAGGCTCGATTCACTAATTTACAATGCATGTATCATTTATCATTGTGAACATGTTATGGTTTTTTTTCAACTTTCTTGCTTTTGTTGCTAAAAATAGAGGTTGTTAGGACAAATAATCAGAACTGTGGAAAAGTGAATTAAGCCTTCAGTCTCATTCCAAATGACAGAATTTGTAGGTTATTACCAGTTATTGGTTCAGTTTGCTCTCTTCTTTTTAGGAATGCACCGATATATCGGCAGCTGAAACATATCGGCCCGAAAGTGGCACTTTTGGCTAAATGCCGAAAGTGCCATTTTTGTGTTGATACATCGGCGCATCCCTTCTTTCTTTCCTCCCTGCTGGGCGCTGCTCTGTGTCCCAGCGGGGAGGAGAAAAAGTGTGACAGCCGGCCGAGTGCTGCGGGAGGAGACTGCTGTGTGCGGCCGGTCTCTCCTCCCACACTGCTCAGCCTCTTATTACAGTCCGGCAGAGCGGTGTCACAGGAGGCTGAGCTCTCACCCCCTGCTCCGCTCGCTTCGGCCTCCTGTGACAGTGTGTCAGGAAGGAGAGCAAGTGCAAACAATCAGCGATCAGCGATCGCTGAGTGTGTGTAGATAATTGAGAACATAGCATGTTGACTATATCCTCAATTATGAATGAATGGAAGTGATCTACATCGCCTCCTGTTCATTCATAATTGTGGTTATAGTAAACATACTCTGTCCTCATGTTATCAATGAACAGGAACACTCATAGAAGATTCCTGTTCATGGATAACTGCAAAGAAAGAGATTGAGGACTTTGTGTATCTCTTTTTCTATTTTAAAAGGGAAATATCAGGGGTCTGTTTAGACCCCTAATATTTCCCCGAAGTCCCTAAAAGTAAAAAATAAAAATATTTAATAAAAAAATGAATGAATAAATAAAAATAAAATATTTAAAAAATTTGAAAAAAAACTTAAAATAATTTTTTTTTCGGTTTTTGGTTTCGGCCTGACAATTTTTTTTATTTCGGTTTTGTTTCAGTTTTGAAATTTCCATTTCGGTGCACCTCTACTTCTTTTAAAATAATGTGTGTTTCATACTGCATGTTGTGTCTCTTGAAGATCTTTTCTCAGCTCCAGAACTGAAAGTGAATCCAAATCCAGTGGTAGAAGGTGATCTCATGACCCTGACATGTAGCACAAGTCCTAGTCCACTCGGACAGTTGACACAACTGCTGTTTACTTTCTACAAAAATGGACAGAATATTCAAAGATACAATTTATCCGATCAATATACAGTTCAGTTTTCTCATATGGAGGATTCTGGGAATTATTCTTGTAAAGTGAGAACTTTAACCAACAGTGTAAAGAAGCTGAGCAAACCGACTAACATCCAGATACAAGGTGAGTCTGCAAATTAATTTGAATATTTTTTTGCACTACTGGTAAAAAGAAAGAAAGACAATCACTCAAAGAAGCAGGCCACAATGCAAGAGGCATTTTGAGAATTCTTGTATCTGGACTATTTTCATTGGTGTGGCACTTCAAATCCTACAATTGCTGTGTTCACTGTCAAGCCAAGGATACTCTGTGGAGACCCTTAGGCCAGTGATAGCTGCCTATCTATTAGTCAGTTTAAGTTAGTAGTGACTCATCAGCCAATGACACATATTCACATTAATAAATCACTATTTGATGATAAAAACTGAAGAATCACACAGGCCCAGCACTCTCTTTCCACTTCCAAATATTTGCAGCCGATTGGTTGCAGTCACTGTTTTGCTGAGACATTTCAGACCAGCTCATTTGACAAAAGTCAATTATAAAATTAAAAAAACAGGGGAGTCCTGAGGGTAGTATGACCAGCTTAACTCTGATGGCCTCCTATAGTTGGTGGAGTCATGTGAAAATCACATAGAAAGTAGTAAGTCCCTCTGCACTCCCGGCCCAAGTACTTGTAGTGGTGCTCTCAGTGACAATCACGGATGGCACCGTGCAACAAACAGTGGAAAGCAGAAATCACCAGCACTCAATAAATATCTGATGTCCATTTAATCAGACCAATCGTCAATTGTCATTGTCGCCTTGATGAATGGACCCTGTGTGGTCCCGAAACGTCGCTATTTTGTACATGACAATTGACGATTGGTCCGATTAAATGGACATTAAAGATATTTACTGAGTGCTGGTGATTTCTGCTTTCCACTCATGTGGAAATCAGACTGTCTCGTACTTTCTTTTATTTGAAATAAACATTGATGTTGAAGCAAAAGGTTACATATGGTATTTTGTGTCTTGCAGGCCTTTTCCCATCTCCACAAATTAAAGTGACTCCACATCTGGTGTTAGAGGGTGATAACATGACCCTGATGTGCAACACAATTCTGAATCCACTCAGGCAGAAACAAGATCTCGATTTTGCTTTTTATAAGGATGATCAGAATGTGCAGAGTTTCAGTTCATCTGAGCAATATGAAGTTCTGTTTGCTCAGCTGAAAGATTCTGCGAAATATCACTGTGAAGTGACAACATCCAACAACAGTGTAATGAAGAAGAGTGCAGGGTTTAATATTTACATAAAAAGTAAGTGCAATGCATTGGATGCAAGTGTTAAAGTTATATTAATGTCAAAAGTTTTTAAGCTTTTTTCAAATGCTGATTTAATCACTTACAATGGATGCTGTTTCTTGATGTTGTCAAGTTTTAGCATCCTGCAGAATGGATCCCTGAGAACTAGCCTTGATATTTTTCGGGGGTGACTGTTTCCCTTTCAGGGTCCTATGAAGCCACCCCTGTGTACGCTAGTAAGTTGTGTGTATCTCCACAAACACACAGTCACAGCAGGTCAAGTCACTGCCCTCCCCTACTCCCACCTCCCTTCTCAAAGTTAGTTGAAGGACAGCTAGAGACTGTGTTGTCCTTGGGATCTTGTACCCAACAGGAAATTCAGGGAAGCTGAGCCGAGAGAGTTGAGGCTGTTTTGGAAAGACAACGACTGCAAGTGCTTGGGCAAAATTTAAAAAAAAAAAAAATACTTTGCTTGGCAATCTACAGTATATTTGCTATATCTGGATTAATAAAAAAAAAAAAGTTTAAGAGTTTAATACTATATTTGATAGTCTGTTGGGATTACATTTTGTATTCTGCACAAGAACAGTCCTTATATACAGTACAGAATATTTACCATACTACTTCCAAATTAGACTGTCCCTGGTTTTGCTACTGCAAAACTGTCCAGCCAATGGCCGAACAGTTATGAACAGTTATGTTGCAGAGAATACAGCAGTACTGAACTGGCCAGCATCAGGTCAGTTTTAAAAAGGCATACAAGGTCTAACCAGTGTATACTTAACTTTTATTTGAACAAAGGGGATAAGGGGGTTCATTAAATATATCTGATAGTGTGACAGTGATTTTCCTGCACACTGATTTTGCTCTTAGTTTTCTGTGTGTGTGTGTGTGTGTGAGAGAGAGTTCAAAAGATGCAGCTATGTGTTGCAAACAAAAGGCAGCTACTAGGGATGAGCCGAACACCCCCGTGTTCGGTTCTAACTCGAACTTTCGAACATGGAAAAAGTTCTAATTCGAACTTAGAACTCAATGCAAGTCTATGGGGGTATTAAATGTCCCCATCCCCCAGGCACCATAAAGGAATTTTTCATTTTTAATGTTTCATTTTAAGTGATGTTAAATCACTGCTCCTTTAAAAATGGTATTTTTTAAAAGTGTTTTTTTTCATTGATACATGTCCCCCAGGGCAGTACCCGGTATAAATATATATATATAATCAGACTTCTGTGTGTGTGTGTGTGTGTGTGTGTGTGTGTGTGTATATATATATCACAGAAGTCTGATTATAGATATAGATACAGATATATATATAGTGTGCTGCAGGGACTTAGCTGTGAGACATGATTGGGCAGAGTCATCGTGACTTTGCCCAATCATGGCTCTATATTTGTACTGAGCCCTGATTGGCACAGTCTTGCACCTGACCTGCGGTCAGGTGCAAGACTGTAGCCAATTACCGTTTCGGACGGCGCAGTGCATTGTGGGATGTCCCGCGGTCGAACAGACCGCAGACATCCCATAATGTTCGTCAGGTGCAAGACTGTAGCCAATTACCGTTTCGGACGGCGCAGTGCATTGTGGGATGTCCCGCGGTCGAACAGACCGCAGACATCCCATAATGTTCGGCGTTCGGCAAACGTTAGAACATGCTATGTTCGAGTCGAACATAGGTTCGACTCGAACGTGCAGCCCATGCCTAGCAGCTACCAGAAATGATTGGCAACAAAAACTTTAAAAAAAATGCCCTATTAACCATTTGTTGCCAATTTCTTACATTTGCCCACACATGATAAAATCAGAATGTTTGGCTAGAAAACAGCTTCAGACCCCCAAACAATTATATATTTTCTGAAAGCAGAGGCCCTGTAGAATACAAAGATGCTAGTTGCAATTTTTTATGTCGCACGGTATTTGTGCAAATATTTATCAAACAAGTATTTCTAGGATAAAATACACTAAAATGAACTTTAGTGCACAGAAACAGAATATAATGCCAAATGTTTTGGTAAAATATAAAATATGGGGTCACGCCAGGTAAATAGATACCAAACATGTCAAGACTTGTCAAGGTGACACTTTAAAAGCTTTTATGGCTCATCAGTTTAGTGCTATCAGTAATTGATGGGCCTAGAATTATTGCTCTCACTCTGACGCTTGCGACGATATGTAACATTTGTTGGGCAATTTTGTTTTTGCACGTAGGCGCATCCGATGTGTTGTATGTGCGTGCAGGTGGGGGGCGGGAGACTTTTTTTTGCATTTTTAATTTTTTTTATGTTACTTTAACTTTTACAATTTTTTTTTACGCTCAGCGTTATTGCTAACACATACAGGGCTAACAAGCCACCTATGTAATAGCAAATATAAATGTGACAGGTCCTCTTTATGGAGACATCAGGGGTCTTTCAAACCGCAACTGTCACAGAGGGACTCAAAGAAGCTGATGAAGCAGAGATCTGCTTCACCAGCTTCTTCTTCTGGCTCTAGGAGCCAGAGAATGTGCCCAGTGACCCTGGAAGTGATGTAACGCACATCACTTCTGGGTCCAGTGATCAGAGGAGAGATCTATCAGGGGAGACCCTCCATGCCGGTCCCGGGCTCACACGGGGGACAGTGTAGCCTGCTCGTATTTAACTACCTAAACTAAGCTTCTTGGATGTAACTGGGCGTGTATACACGTCCTGTTACATCCGCCCGCTCGGGAAATGCCCGTTATTTGAAAAGAGGCAGCGATGCCCGTTAATATACAAGCGATCCGCCGGCTATAGAGCCGGCGGATTGCTTGTATGAGGCCCCGAGACGTGCGCCCCCCCTCCGCGGCTCTCCCCCTCCCGCTGTCAAGCTGGTCCCGGGACCAGCATAGTGCCTCTGTCACAGGGGATCAGAGGGAGCTCGGTACACGAGCTCCCTCCGGTCCCCTCTCCGCTGTCCAGGGCCGTCTTTAAGGCAGGGCAAAAGGGGCACTTGCCCGGGGCCCAGGCATTGTTGTGGGGCCCTGCACCCCATAAACTAGAGCTGCTGATAGTTTGAAACGTTTCTGTACCAGCCGTCTAGTCTGCACTACCGCTTTCTGACGCTAGATGGCAGCGCCGCAGCAGCCTCCTGTCCCACTCCCTATGTGCAGCAAAGATCTCTCCAGCCCGGAATGTCACCTCCCACTCAGCAGAGGAGGAAGATCGATTTTGCACACACTGCTTCATGGTCCTGCCCTCCTTCCTCCATGGCTGCATCTCATCCTCCTCCTGTCGTGGTCGGGTTAGGTGTGGTACTGCTGGGCTATGATGTAATGCGGTATAAAAATAATAATGACACCTGAGCATGTTCCCCTGGTGGCTCCATGAAAGTAGAATTATGGGGAGAGTGAAATGCGCTCTCTTGATCGAGAACTGATCGATCACATACCGCTGATCACGCAGTTCCCGCACTCACTCTCTCTGCAGAGAGCGGTGACTGTCAGTCACGGCTCCTCGCAGGAATACCCCCCCTCCCCTCTCTGATCCTCCATTGCTGACAGGAGGGATTGGATGGGGCAGACACAACCTCTAGAGAGGTAGAGTCAGCTGTCAATCAGGTGGTGGGGTGGATCTGGACAATATTTTTTGGATCCATCCCAGCTGCAGCGTGGCTCTGTCAGCATATAGCGGGCAATATTGCATGGGTGCGTGGTGGGGGGCCCAAGAAAATGTTTGCCCGGGGTCCAATCAATATTAAAGACGGCCCTGCCGCTGTCAGAATGCGGAAGTGGTGTATATTACATCACTTCCGCATTCTCGTGTCACTCTCCAGCTTCAGATGCTGGAGAGAAGCTGATGAAGCAGATCTCTGCTTCATCAGCTTCTTCAGGGGGGTCCTAGGTGACATTAGGGGTCTTGGAGACCCCTGATGTCTCCATAAAGAGGACCTGTCACCTCTTTTGCTATCACATAAGGGGGTTTCTCAGCCCCCTCTGTGATAGCAATAAAGTTAAGTGGAAAAAAAAATTTGTAAAAAAATTTAAAGTTCCCCCCCATTTTTTTTAAAGTTACACAAAAAAGAATAAAAAAAAAATGTTTTTTGTAAAAGTCCCCAACCCTACATACACGCATGTAAACATGCGTCAGCTGCGCATACCTGCAAAAACGATTGCGCCCATTACGCCGCACATGTTGCATATCACCGCGAACGTCTGAATGAGAGCAATAAGTCTAGGGCCATCAATCACTGATAACACTAAACTGATGAGCGGTAAAAGCTTTTAAAGCGTCGCCTATGGCCAATTTTGGGTATGCTAGTTTTTTGCGAGTGCGCGCAATTTTTAAGCTTGACATGGTGTCTATTTACCCGACGTGACCCCGTCTTTTATATTTTACCAAAAAAGTGGGTAATATTAGTTGTTTTATAACATAATGTAAAAAAAAAACTTTTTTCTAAATTTTCAGTAATTTCTCCTGAATATAGTAAAAAATAAAACCCGCAGTGGTGATTAAATACCACCAAAAGAAAGCTCTATTACTCCCCAAAAAAATGGTATAAAATTCATTTCAGTACAGCGTTGCATGACGGAATAAATGTCAGTCAAAGTACTGCAGCGCTGAACACTGAAAAATGGCCTGGCCAGGAAGGGGGTCTAAACACCTGGTCTTCAAGCGGTTAAACAGCAATTGCTGGCTGTTTAAAACGGTACCAGGAGCAGCTGTGTTCTTGGTATAACCACTTCCAGCGGATAACGTACAATTACGTGAACCCGCGGGAAGTGGTGAACATGGAAATCAAGAAAACCACAAAACAAACAAAACTCCAAACTGCTCCCCTTGAAACAAAAGCCCCTAAAAAGCAGTTAAAACCAATATATCCTCCAAAATAATTGAAACCCTCCAAAACCCTTAACTCAACCGCAAAATAACATTAACTAAAAATAGGCCCACAATATTAACAACAAAGGTAGCAAAGGGGTTAATTGCCCAAAGAGCTAGTAATCAGAATTAAAATACAGTTACCGAGCTGACCCTAATATTTCCCTATGCAGTTTGTCAGCTTTCCCTATATTTTCCCTACAGCAGCTTCCTATACACTAACACTATGGCTGTTCTGCACCTCTGCTTATAGAATGAGGGGACTGGCACATAACAAAACCTCCATTATTGGCCCTTCTAAGGCTTGCAGGGTTTTATGGTTATAAAGAATTCAGCTGGGCAAATGCCAGTATTAGTTCACCCGGACTGCGGACCTTAAACTCGCAGGATTTACCTTGAACCAATGGTAAACCCAAACCCGTATACCCATATTTCACCTATTCTCTGCTTACATCTATTAGGGAGCTCTGTTGGTCTCTCACTTCACCTTGTGTCTGTTTTTTAGTTTGGGCTAAGCCTTACACCGTTTCATTCTGTCTGTTATGGCCTTTCTCTTATGTACCGGTCTGT